TACAATATTAAACATACATTTAATTAACCGAATTATTATTAGTGAGTCATTTATGTTTACTAGAGTTCGCCGAGTGGTCGAACTTAGACCATGATTATTGTTGAGTTTTTATTTTATTTATAAAACTAAAACTCGTCAATAGCTATTAAACTAAAACAAAAAATAAACAGATCGGTTCACAAACAAAATGTTTATTTTAATTAATTTAATGTATTTCTAATGTATCTTAATGTGTAATTCTTTTGTACGTATGTTTGTTGGTTACGCCTCCTAAAGGACTGGACCGAGTTGAATGAAATTTTGTGTGTATATTTCAATGGTTTCCTGAATAGTTTGAAAATACAAATGGACCCAGTAGGTGGCGCTGTAGTCGGTGTGCCACTGATCATCTTCTAAACGGCAGGGACGATTTTAGTGATATTTTTTGTGTATGTTCGAGTGGGTCCCCGCAAGGTTTGAATTCACAAATGGAGACGGTATTGAATGGAGAGTCGGTGTGTCACTAAATTTTCAAAAAAGACTCCATTTTCCAAACAATAAATAAATTAAATTGTTGCTTAAATAAAACAAAAATCGATGGGTTTATGTATGTTTCCTATAGACTTCAAAACAGGCGGAGCGATTTTAATGAAATTTTTAGGTATTCTTCAGATTAGCCCAGCGGGTGATCCTGTGATTTTTGTCAGCGGTGGGAAGTATGGACGCGGGATTTGAACCCCCTTCATTCGGTTTCCCAAGTAAGCTACCACTGCCTTAATGACCCAATTTTAACAAAATTGTAATGAATCTAAGTAGATACATAGATAATTATAAAATAGATGTAAAATTATATTAATGTGTTATATTTTACTCATAGTACTTTCTTGTTAGATGCTTTGTTAGCCATTAAGATTGTCATTTTACTGTCTTAAAAATGGTGTAGACGTATTAACCATACAATTTAAAAAGCTACAAATTAAAGAGAGCCATAAGTAAATGTGAAGTATCTTGTAGTAGGATACCTTTATTAACTTAATTTAATATGTTTACAGTCCTCTTACATTATTTGCTCAATTCTTCCAACATGTTTTCGGATTTGTTTGAGTTTATCACTCAACCAGGTCTGAAGTCATATTGCGAGTTGCCATGTAATATAATCTAATATTTGATTTAAAAGTGTTCGCATTTTCGTAAGGGCATGTTTTCACGCGTGCATATAGTATGTATGTATAAACGTCCTAAGGTGATTGAATCTTATTTAAGAACCATTAAGAACTACTAAAAGAAAAATGGTGAGTCGTCGATCACAGAATACCACGACTACGACGACTAGGACGAATAAGACGTCGATTACGAATAAATTGATGACATACTCTCTTCTATCTTCTTATTTTACACTAGCATTGCCCGCGGCTCAGCCCGCGTTCAGATGACCAAAAACCAAATTCTTAGATTTTACATATTAATATACTCTTACATTGCAGTTTTTGTATTTTTTCTCAGAAATGAGATATTTTCCCGCGGTAAAAAGTATCCTATATGTTCACCCGGATAATATGCTATCACCATACCAAGTTTCTTTAAAATCCCTCCAGTGGTTTTTCCGTGATGCGGTAACAGACAGACATACAGACAGACAAAAATTCTAAATACTATTGATTCGGCCTCTGTATCGAAAATAATGTCTATTTTAATAAGATTCTCCAAAAAATATTTAATGTACAGATTCGGCTTTGTTAAAATTTTAATATATGTATAGACTAGCATTGCCCGCGGCTCCTCTCGCGTTCAGATGACCAAAAACCAAATTATTAGGTTTTACATATTAGTATACTCTTACAATGCAGTTATTGTATTTTTTCTCAGAAATGAGATATTTTCCCGCAGTAAAAAGTATCCTATATGTTGACCCGGATAACCAGCTATCACCCAAATTTTATACCAAATTTCATCAAAATCTGTCCAGTGGTTTTCTCGTGATGCGGTAACAGACAGACAGACAGACAGACGGACGGACGGACGGACGGACGGACGGACGGACGGACGGACGGACGGACGGACGGACGGACGGACGGACGGACGGACGGACGGACGGACGGACGGACGGACGGACGGACGGACGGACGGACGGACGGACGGACGGACGGACGGACGGACGGACGGACGGACGGACGGACGGACGGACGGACAGACAGACAGACAGACAGACAGACAGACAGACAGACAGACAGACAGACAGACAGACAGGTCAAAATTCTAAAAAAATATAGATTCGGACTCTGTATCAATGATAATGTCTATTTCAATTAGATTTTCCAAAAAAAATTAATGTACAGATTCGACTTAATTACAATTTTATTATATGTATGTATATTCTGAGCATAAATTTTCACAATTAGTGGACTAAATAATTAAACAGAACGTCATATTTAACATTTTCGTAACGAAATTCTGCAAATAAATCGTTGATATCTAGTTATAGACATTTTTTAGGTATCTGTAACGAATGCTTTGCTTTAATTTAAACAATTGAATTGTTATGAAGTCATCGCGGAAGGCTAGCTGTTGTTGGATTTTTTGTGTAACATTCAAATTATGAAAAAATAATAATTTGAGATCTCCGATATCTCCGTATAGCTAAGAGGCAGAAGGCTTAGTATAGGTAGTAATATAATTTAAATAAAATTCTTATGTGAATACTGAATATTAGTAGGTACCTACATATATTACGTGTATAAAATAGCTTCAAACCTTTTATTTTTTACATCTAAAGAAGCGATTATTAATTTTATAAATGCTAGAGAGTGTAGAAATATTGGAATCTTTAGTACGTATAAGAATTTGGATGTGATTTGGCACACATGCACTATCCCATTACCTTACTAGTATAGGTATAAATGCGAATGCATTTGGATGGATGTTTGTTACTCAATCTGTGATCACTCTGGATCTAGATGAAATTTGGTACAGAAATAGATTATAGTCTGGAATAGTACATACGGTTACCGTGGGATAGATTTGTTTTTGTTTTTCACTCAGCGAAGCAAGGGTGAGTTGCTAATAATCCATATCCTAAATTTCTAAGTAGGTTTCTCTCTGAAATAATATATTAATTGTAATGATATACCAAACACATTTTAGTTCTGAATAATAGAAAGTGCTACCAAATAAGGTTTAATAAATAAATAAAGAATTCATTTAATGCGGGTGATGGTGCGGGCAAGCATTTATAATTCACTTATTAATATTTACAATTACCTTACAGTTAGATACTATTCTAATAAATATGTGGACAATTTAAAAGCACGAGTTAGATACGAAGGGTATTTTCAAATAAGTGAATGCTACCGGAAAGCAAATGTAGTAGAGGGACTCTGTCCCCGTGCATTAATTGACTTCGCCTCACACCACCGCAGCTTGCAGCGGCTTCAATATGTACAACTGAGTCATCGATTAGGTAATGAATAAAAAATATCTAGCTATGTGTAAGATGAGCTTTTTTTAATTACAAAAAAACAAAAACAAATCTATCCCCCGGGAACCGTATATTTTTCCGGGATAAAAAAGTAGCCTATTTGTTGTTCCAGACTATAATCTATCTCTGTGCCAAATTTCATCCAGATGCGTTCAGCCGTTCTGGCGTGAAAGAGTAACAAACATCCATACATGCTCACAAACTTTCACATTTATAATATTTATATAAACAGATACTACAATACACCAACACTATACATATTATAATAAATATAACAATATAATTACGCCTTAATAACAAGTATCTCTTTTGATATTTTTGGGCATGCATTATAATTATTTTAAAATATAAATAAATAAGATTCTTCAACGTCATTGTAAACTTTTACTGTAGGTATAAAGAAACCTTAAACAGGAACGTACTCATGGGTGAAATATCTTCTTTTAAGACATGTAAATAAGGAAGACTATGTACTTATTAAAATATATAGAATATATTATAAAACGCCGACAACTCGAATTTTAATGATGCCTCGATTTATAAGAACTAGTGTTCGTCTAGTGGTCGAAATTCTAAATAAAAATATTAAACGGTTTTCAAAAAAATTTTTACTGATATCGCTGAAGCTTGTCAATAAAGAAAAAGAAAATCGATTGACAGATAGAGTAATAATAATAATAGTCCTGACTTCTTCCTGGTCCTGACTTGTTTTGTTGTATCCTATTTATATATACTCGTGGACTTACGAAAATATATTGGTATATCGGACGGAAGACCACACAACAAAATTTATATGTCGAAATTAATAGCATTACTACAAGAACTATTATATAACTTTAATTTTTTACCTTACATCCATGTAACGGCAGCGAAAGGGCCAAGCCACATGTTTTGAATAAGGTGTAGAGTTTGTGAAGTTAGGGCTTGTAGAGTTAGAGTGTGTAGAGATCTCATATAGAGCTTGGCTCTATAATATGAGATTCGATAACTTTTTGACAGTGCGACCCACATGTTCTCGTCTTGGCAACAATTAACACGAAAATGGTTTTGATGGGATTTCTTTATGTTATTTCGTTAGTTTAAAAAATGTGTTTAATTTTAAAATTGAATCAGTACAAAATTTCTTCTTCACTTATGTGTAATTGATTATGTTAATTAATTATTGTTATTTTATTGTATGTTATGTTATGTTACAAGTATAATTCTACGAAAACTATCTAATTTATTATATTTAAACAATAATATTGTTAACATATTTATTTATAATAATCTTTTATTAACTAATTACGAATTTATTTATTTCTATTATTTAATAATTGTTTAACAGACTTATATTACGCTTATTAAATATCTTTTATAACTAACAAAACAAAAATGACAATAATATAATTTATTTGCTGGAATCAACCGATGTTAATTATTATAAATGTGTTTATAAACGTACAAAACAACATACACTAAGTAAAATTTCTCTATTTCTCTTCATGGACTTTAGTTCAAGTAAAGAAATCACTTTAGTACAAGCAAACTCAGTTTTAGATTAAAAATGTTAGGGTTGTCGAGGACAAGAAAAATAGTTGAGAAGGGGAAATGTATAAAAGTGAATGTCGAGCGGGCGCGCGATTCAGTCGCACCGCGATCGAGTATAGCAGCGGCCACGACAGGTGCGCCGACCACAGCAACGCGGTCACTTCAACGTCGGCTTACCACCACGACTTATCCTTTACCCGACTCTACATCATCCCGACCCCATGAGGTAAGCCCAAACACATCTAATACAGCTTTGCGACGCGAATTTCATTTTATATACCCCATCATTTATTTATTACATATATTCGACACGGATCTAAAGTATATGTGATATATTATTTTATTATAATGTGCTCGAAGTGATGCTACATGTAAATAGGAGAAGACGCCTGAATATTTCTGTTTTTTTTATTTTCAATGTAGGATGTGAAAGCAAACTCGCTCTATTTCGTAATGCAACAAGTAAGTTCTCTAGACGATAGTGTCGCGTGAAAACTGAGTGTTATTTTAAAAATTATGTCAATTTTAATCATATGTTTTTGTTTTTATTGTTTAGACTCAATTATAAATTTTAGCACATTTTAAATGATATTGGAAATATTATATTGAGAAAATCTTTTGAGGTAAATTTAAGTAGGCAATCTAGTAATTTACTATTCAATTTTAACTTTTGTCTGCTTTTTAAGACACTGTACTAAGTTTAATGGCGAATTTTTCATTTCTCGACCTGGTAAAATATATGTACAGTAAATGCAAATACGCAAATCGAACCCGCGACCTCTGCACAGTGTCAATTTAGCCAACCATTGAAGCGTTGCACCATCATCCATCACCATGAATGAATGGTTTTTTTTTAATGATATTTTTAATCACTTACAAATAAAAACAGTTCTCTTTGTTGTAAATTCCAACAAAAATCCTTATGGTAAAATGGTAAAAAAAACGAAATTATGACGAAGTGGCTGAGGCGTGAGGAGTTATTTATATCTTTTATATTATATTCTGTATACATTTTAAAAACATAACCATCCTTCTGGCGCAGCCGGGTAAAAAATTATAATTTAAATGTTATAGTAATATATAAAATATATAAAAATACTTAACTAATTTTTTAAAGAAATATTCATTAAAAACAATTAATTAAATACGGTGTAATGATAATTATCATATACATTTAATTATTGTCTGTGGTAGGTAGAGTTAATTTATTGTGAAAGTTTAATTACAAATTATTTAAAAATTTATATATTTTAATAATTATATGGAACATTATAAAAATATCCATTCTAGATATGACTTTAATATTTGTAATGACTTTGTATCATTGCAAATAACACAATAGATATGTAGAATTGTTAGCATTTGATAATATTTTGGTATACGAGTAAGGAGGTAATTGCTAATCTTAATATGTAATTGTTCTTACAAGACGCGAGAAGGCTTAGGTTGGGTAATAAAGTCTAATGATAAGAATTGCTATATATAATATACTAGCGACTCACCCTCACTTCGCTCGGCTTCGTCCCCAGATGCCTTATGATGGTTAGTATGGAATACATAGACTATATAGTCTATCTGATGAGTTGTATATCCCTTACTTGAGAAATGATTGATTCCCCGTACAAAGTTCCACCCCCCTTTTCACTTCTTTAAGATCTGATTTCCGGGGTAAAAACTATTCTATGTCCTTCCCAGGGTCTCAAACTATCTCCATACCAAATTTTGTCTAAATTTCGTTCAGCGGATTAAGCGTGAAAAGGTAACAGACAGACAGACAGACATATTACTAATATTAGTATATTTTATTACAGTTGAGTAAGCCGGTGAATTAAATAAAATAGCCTTTAATGTCTGATTTACCTGTAATTGTTTAGGAGTGACATTGCTTGCACTCGATTATTAGTAGAGTTCAGTAGAATCTTTTTCCAACAGTTGACCAAGAGTAGGCTCACGCTGTTATATGTAGAGCAGCTATGTAACGCGATACAGCACGGTGAACCTGAGTTCGTTGCACCGAACGTTAAAACTCGAATATTATAACGTAACACTCGCTTGTGTATAAACAAATATGTACCGATATTTGTTTGTATTTTACAAATTAAAAATAGTAGATTTTGCTAGTTCCATTGAATTAATAATTTACAAATTTATCTCTTGTACGATATATATGGGATATATTGATCATTTAATATTACGATTTACGAACATGTCTATATCACTAAGAACTTTGATTTTGGTTTAGTTAGGTAAGTGTATGTCTGAGGGAAATCAGTTCGTAATTTACCCTTAACAACAAACCAACCTTTGTCTGTGCTTAGCTGAGTCAATCAAGTATCGGAAAGAAGGTAAAAAAAATCTTGAAAATAAATGATCTACCAAAATTTTTTACCAACTTTGCAATATACTATAACAACTACAACTAAAACAACTTGACTTGTCTATCTGTCTATACGTCCGTCTGTCACATTGCATCCAATCTAATCGACAGTAGTATAGTTAGTTGGATCAATGGAATGCTAAATAAATTCAATATTTATAAATAAATGCATAAAATTTATAAATTGTATTGTTTGTATTGTATTTAGCCCTTTTTAACGTCTCATTGCTGGGCATGGGTCTCCCTTCAATACGAGGGGGATCAGGCCATAGTCCACCACGCTAGCCAAGTGCGGGTTGGCGGGTTGGCGGTTCACATGTCTTTCGCAAACTTGCTAGGTTCTGTTAGACATGCAGGTTTACTCACGATGTTTTCCTTCACCGTATGGTAGTGTTAATCATGTTAGAAATGATTCGCACATGAAGATATCAGAGGTGCGAGACCCGGGATTTGAACCCACTCCACTCGGTTTCCCAAGCAAGCACGTTACCACTACGCTACCACTGCTAATTATTTTATTTATTATAAATAAATGACCCCAACTGTCTATGGCTTAGGTATTAGAAGAATCGTGCTAGAAAATAAACACAACTCAAGAGCGCAATATAACAATTATAAGATCTCATTGTTTTGCGGGATTTGAAATCTATACATACATATTGTAATTCCTCCTTTAAGTTTGCTTTGTTAAAAGTAGCAGACATAGATTTAAGAGAGGATTGCTTGTCATAAGAATAGCTCGTTTAAATATATTAGATAATACAAAGTTGTTTTTGCAAATGTGTGTATTGAGAAAAAGTGTGTTTTTAGTGTGAAGCCGAGGGTTCTGCTAGTATGAAATAAATGGTCAGTTAACATTTCTATTTTGATCGCGTTTTACTCAATAAAAACTAAATATTAGGATTTCAATGTGACTTTTTCTAAAGATTAATAGCTTTTATTAAAAAAAATAATTTTAATAGATAAAGGTTGAACTCCTTTATAAATAAAAAGGATGACGCGGGCAGAACCGCACGCGCACGCCGTAGCGTTAGCGTATTGCCTACTAGGTATTAAAGTTGCACGTGGATCTTGTCGAGAGAAAATATTTATGTGAAATTGTTCGATTGTAGGAATTTATATTTCAGGATTCCACGTAAATAAGCTCTTAGCTGTCGCAAATATAAATAAAAATATTGGATTTTTTCTATTGCCTTATAACTGATATAAGAGTCGTTCGATATTATATTATTCCAAAATAATATTACAGCGGTTTAAGTTAGGTTTGACTGAAGTTATATTTATGACTTTTTTTAATTGTCTTGAGTACCGTTTTATAAGCTAATTACTCGACTTCCAAAAAGGAGGAAGTTCTCAATTCGTCGAAATTCTTTTTTTTGTTACTCGAAGACGCCTGAACCGATTTGGATTTTTTTGTTTTGAAGTGTATACTTCCCAGGTGGACCCATTTAAATTTTATCGAAATCGGTCGAGCGGTTTTTAAAAATTCAACAAAAAAACTTTATTCAAATAAATTGATTAAACGAATATGTTATTAAAAAAACTTTCTACTTATAAATTACCTGCTTAATACGTCTACACGAAAAATGGACAAAAAAAACTAAAAAAAAAAACGTAAAATCGACTTCCAGGCACTAAAATGTAAAAATAACTAAACGGGAGTTTTCATTTAGAATAGATACCTAATCAGATAATTTCGAAGTCGGTGCCAGCCGACAATATATTAAGATATGAATATCTAATAGGTAATATGATTAAGTATGAACTCTAATTATAGTTAAAATATTGTAAATCAATTTGTGAAGTCGGTTTTTTTGAGTTTTTATTTTAGTATTTCATTTTGGAAATTTAAATCACAAATTTCTAAGTCAACTGGTCTTATTTCGCTAAGGCTTGATTATTATTTCACTAAATAATTATTCAAAAAATGAATAAATCACATTTAAGAAAATAGGTACGCTTTAATATGGACTAAAAACAATATAAAATATTTTTTCGTAGCCCTATATACTTTTAGAGAGTGGAGATATAATATATATGTAGCTTATCTAATAGCTCTCTGGGCCGCTTTAGTACTTTTTAATCTTGTATGTCTGTTTGTTTGACGTCTTGTATTAAGTTGTATTCAAATTTCAAGCCGGTAGCTAATTGTACAATAATTTAAAATCGACCGAATTTCAAAATCTTTATCAACCACACAAACAAAAGACACCAAGAAAGCTAATTGTTTTAAAGGAGTATATATATAAAATATTAAGAATATATGTATGTATACTGATTGAATATAATATAGCACAATGGTACTATAGTGTATAACTAAAAAAAAAAAAATAAGACGACTCAAAAAGACGAAAGTAACTGCAGCCTTGGCGATTTCGTCTTTTGCATCTTATTGTAAAGAAAATAGTATTATTAAATATCAACTTAAATGAGTATATAATTATAATATATAATGAGAATAGCAGTAATATGTAGGTACGTACAATTTCATAAGTTTAATATATAATATTCTTCTAGTAATTTCTGTAATGCTTAGAAAATAAACCATCAATGTGTATTATTACCTATACTAATGATGTAGAAATTATTTAAATAACGTATCATTATTTATTTACTATCAAGATTTCTTTGAGCACAATAAACGTTAATAGATAATTGATTGTATTACTAAGAGCAGATGCTCTTTGCAATACAAATATAACTAGATAGTTATAGTACAATTATAAAGAAGTATTTTCTTTGCTGTGCATCCTCTAAACACTCTTTTTACTAAGTTTATGTAATGCTTCTCATAAGTAAGGTTTAAAATAAAAGCTTACCGTTCATATAAATTTTCAGATTTATTCGTCTATTTTGACCGGACAAAGTTGTGACATATGAGATGAGATCTTTAGCTGTTTTTGTTCTGTTACGCCAAATAAGTATAACTTCTAACGTGCGTACATAAGTACACATACACACTACATTTTTAAATACGTATATTACTTAAAAAAATACAGGTCCTCACTTTCATATCAAACGAAAAATATAGTTCTTAAGCTGAACTCTTTAAAATATCAAAAAAAACACATAATAGATGGAACCCTACTTTACGAGAGTAGAACGCGTTTTT